CCCTGCTCCTCCCCCTCTCCCTCCCCCACCAACAAGACAAGTCCTTATGGTCCTGGCTCCTTTTCCATCCTGGGGAGCATCAGTCTGGTTCCTAATCCATCGGAAAGTCAAAGGAATACAAATTCAATACATCCCGAACACGCTCACGCTTCCTTCCGTTCAGACAAACGATTGATCCTGCCCTGACCAGCAGCATTGATTGGTGCAGGTAGCTGGGGGATTGACTGTCAGCTTGCCTTCCCTCATCTTTTCCTCTCAGGTTTTATCTCCCATGTCCTGCCAAATTGTGCTAGAATCCTAGAAAATTCTGAAGGATGTGCATCATCCCAACACCCTGTGGTAGACTTTCAAGTTTCAACCATTCCACCGGGGTGCTGCGGTTATAAAGTATCCGGTTTCATCCTTGGGATTTGCTGCCACAGGTATCAATGTCAGCCTTGGGCACTGGGTCCGTTAAAAAAAAAAAAAAAAAAAAAAGCATATTCGTGACATTAGTCACAAGTGGTATTTATAGTTCATGAAAGGTACTAACTGTTGTTCAACGAAATAGAGAAGCAATTGTAATTTGTAACAGCAAAGATTCGAACGGATTACAGCATATAGGATAGGCGTCCGCAACGCCACGTTTCGACGGCTGCGAGGCCGTCTTCCTCGGGGTAAGTTTTTTTTTTTTTTTTTTTTTTTTTTTCCCACCGTCGCTCACCCACACTAGTCACTATCTCGAACCCACTTCCGTCCTTCGCCCAGGACCAGGTCACGTAGTCGACAATTCTGCACTGAGGCATGCGGGTCAAGTGTATGCGCCGTCTGCGTCTGTCTCCCACTTCAGTCCTCAGTTCCGGGTTATGTCCTTCAAAACCCCTGTCATAGTTATTGAACCAGCAAAACCCCTGGCATAGTTATTGAACCAGCAAAACCCCTGGCATAGTTATTGAACCAGGAACTGTATGCATCTGGAGTATGGACATGTGTCGTGCCGTTGATGTGTCTGCAATCAAAACACTATTTTCACATCAACATCTAAGTTGATATAAATTATATAATCATATAACTGCCTTTTTGGAATTTTAAAATATTTTGAATTATTTTCCCCTTTTGCTTTTTCCGACATTTTCACCTTTTTCTTTTCAGAAATGGACACTGTGTTAGGCCCGTAAGGACCTGTTTTGTTAAAAAAAAAAAGAAAAAAGGACACAGTGTCCACTGCACCTGGGCAAATCCGCCCACGCCGCACAGTGTTCCATCCACACACACAAGCGAAGCGGATTGGCAAACATGCAGACCTTTTTCGGACCTTTCTTTTCCCCCCCCCCCCCCCTTTCTCGAGGGCCCTTCCCGGGTTGTCCGTCTGGACCTTTTGCTGGACCCTGCCTGGATTTCTGTTACATCTTCGACGCACACGGGTCCTACCGGACCCGACTTAGGGCCGGAAGGACACATCAGGGCCTAAAGGCCCAACCTTGGGGTATTACAGGCCCTAAAGGTCTGATCTTGGACCAGTACCCGACGCGCAGGCCCAAACGGCATTATCGTTTGGGCCTGGCGGCGCTCTTGAGGCTGCCGCCCGCCGGTTGGGGCTGAACCGTCCATCTGGACGGTTCAGGGCATGGCCAGGCCTCGCAGCATTGAGGCCGGCCTCTGCCCCACCGGTATAAGTACCGGTACAGCCTCAGCCTCACTTGGAGGGATGGAACCACCGGCACTCTACCGGTGCGTTATGGTCAGCGCCAGAGTGCTGTTTGATGCGCTAAGTTTAGCGCAGGAGCGAGCAAGGAGCAGCAGCGGCAGCGCAGCATTAGCGCAGCGGCAAGCGGAGCAGCAGCAGGGCGACTGAGCGAGCAAGGAGCAGCAGCGGCAGCGCAGCATTAGCGCAGCGGCAAGCGGAGCAGCAGCAGGGCGACTGAGCCAGCACGGCGGCCATTGCCGCCTGAGGTACCTGGGAGTGGAGGACCTCTCCTCCCTCCCTCGTCAGCTCTCTCTCTCTCTCTCTCTCTCTCTCTCTCTCTCTCTCTCTCTCCTCCTCCTCCTTCTTCTTCTTCTTCTTCTTCTTCTTCTTCTTCTTCTTCTTCTTCTTCTTCTTCTTCTTCTTCAGACTAGAGACTTATACTAGTTGGACAGAGATCAGAGTGGGACTTCGGTGATATGAGACTGTGGTACTTACCTGATTGGAGACTTGGAGATTGTTGAGGTTGATACTCGGCTGCATCACAGTTGGACACCGGTTACATCTGGACTCTGTATCACCGACATTGGTGACCTATGGGCCTCGACATTTTGATCCTGTTGTATGACATTTTGGACTACCATATCGGAGACCTATCAGACTCTATCTATCGGTGTTGTCTACCTCCCCACCTCCTTCGTCTCTCCTCCCACCTTTCATCTGTGAATGCGTGTACGGGATATGGGCATCGTCTATGAATGGCCCAGACCCCACCATCTCACGATTGTATGTGTGTGGAGTGATGCTATGTGAGTCAGTCTATGTGAGTCAGTCTATGTGAGTCAGTCCGTTTATCAGACTTCCGCTGCATATATGCTCATCCTACATTGGTTCTGCCCATACTCATTGAAGTATGCAACAATAAAGCTAGAGGCTAGGCGTCGACACAAGGAGGAAAAGAGGCGCCGCGAGCAGCAGGAAAATGATGAGCGGCTGGCACGCCTCGTGGATATACAGTTCTCCAAACGATGGGGGAACACGAGCGAGAAAGTGGGGGTCGAGAGTTCTCCAGAGACACCTCATGGCCGACGAAGACATCGGCGAGCATCCAGGCGAGCGAAGCACCACCATAGGTTGTTACAATCCGAATCGGAAGGCGAAGTCTCCGATATCAACCGTAGAGCGAGAAGGCTATACATATCCGAAAGGAGGAGGCGAGCGCCGACTACGGAGGAGGAGGGATCGCTATCACAATCCAGCCCGAATGTTACGCCGCTGCAATTGAACCGTGCACGAGGGCGCCCACCGCGTACCGCACGATCAGCTAAGAAGATGAAGACTGGTCTCCAACCGGTCATGGTGAGGCGTTTGAGGGAGAAGAGTGACCCCACCACCAAAGGAGTGGCAGCTGGCGTTGGTTCAGGAGCTAGACAGCAGTTCGTCGATGATACTGCCAAGCATTTGGATGGGCTTGACTATCGGCAGATTCAACGCCTCTGTAAGCAGGCGGGCATACCGTACAGTCGTAAGCCGCAAGCCGTCCTGGCTCTTGCCGAACATCGCGCACAAGTCGCGTACGAAGGTACTACGGAGAGCGTTCCAGGATACGCACGAGAAGGCGATCCGACTATTACCTCCAGTGAGAACCTGTCCTCGGACAGCTCGGAATCTGATGATTCAGGAACTTCCAGCAAGGAAAAACAAGCTTGAAGTGGTAAGAGCATTGAGGAGTTGTGGCAATGTTGTAGAATCTTGGCTAACAGACGTAGATCTAGTGATCCTGTTAGAGGAGAGGTCGAGTCACTCTTTAGATGGGTAGTGGTCGCACTAACGTTGCATGGTTGTATTCAATGGCTCTCAAAATTTGTGTGCTACTGGTCTGAGCTATTGAAGAATAGTGTTGATGCTTTTGATTATCCGGATAGCTGCGTATACGTTGGGGTCTCACCTTGGTGTCGGGCCACGTATATAGGCAAGACGGAAAGGGCTTTAAATACGAGATGGGTCGAGCACAGAAATCGGAGTGTTTTGGGTACAGGAACGCTGTCGCACTTCCACCGATGGATGGACAGGATCGGGGTGCATTCTTACATCCTTATTCCGGTAATTAAGGATGATGCCGCGAGTCTGTTGGGTTTGGAAGATTTGCTCATACGTACGTGGTCTCCCAGCTTGAATGTACGGGGGCCTAAGAAGAAGCTAGCGTCGAGAAAGCAGTCAAGAAGAAAGCGACGAGGGAAGAAAGAGCGAAAAAAACGAAAGAGCAAGCCTAACAACAGAAGGAAGCAGAAGTTGGGGGGGAGAAATCCGAGCGATGTGATTCGAGTCAGGGCTAGCAGCTCACCTAGCGGGTCGGTTAGAATTTTACAAGTTTTGCATGATCTTGAGAGTAAAGGCTGTCGTAGTTTTGTGTTAAAGTCTGACGGAGGGAGCGTGTGGTGCAACAAATGGAAAGCTGTCAAGCGAGTATTTGGCAATTCCGAAGTCAGGGTTGAAGGAGGGACAAGGCTTTTGAGACACTGTAAGTCAGCATTAGAGCAGGGTATCGACATCCACGTGACTTATCTCAAAAGATGGAGGAAGAATAATAATAGGAATCATGCTTTCCTGGTGTCCATTCTGAAGCAACTACGGAAAAGAGAAACGTTACATACACGTGATCTCCATTTTTTAACGGAACTGCTACAGGTTACTAAGGAATTTAGTAAGAAGACGACCAGGCAGCAATTACGGAGAATATTGACTGGCAGTATTAGGAAGGGGTACGGATTTAATGTTGGTGCTAAGCTGGTAGCGAAAGTCCGTTTTGATGACAGGGTAAGTTTAGAAGGGGTACGCCGACTGTGTGACTCCAAGATCGAGGAAATTGGTTTTCCTCCCTCAGTAATCGACATCTTCAAGAGAAAAGTCAGGGCAGTTTGGACACGCAATCCGTCTGTCGCTGATATCCTATGCAACTATCGAAAGGCTGCCGCCAAGGATGTGCAGGCCTGTACTTGCGTGGGGTACGATCTCCCCAGATCGGGGGGCCATGTGAGATGCCGGCTTTGGGAGGTCGAGGGGATCCCCAAGAGTCTTCACAACAGTAGGAACGTACCACGAGCTCGCGAGGCATTCCGGGCTGATATTTTGTCCCAGGAATTGATGGATTCCTTTGCCTGTTGGAAGCCGGGACCTGAGGTTTCGATTAGCATCAGTGTCGAGGAGGCTAGACAGTGTTTGAACGAATCTGTCCGTAAAGATGAGGAGATATGCGTGGAGGAGGTAATCTGTGTGAAGAAACGTTTTGCGGATTTGGTATTTTCTTCGGTTGATCGGAATGCGGGCGAAATTGTTTTAATGTGTCCGAAATTGTACCATGAAGGGATGAGTGGTATGTTTATCCGAAGCTCTGGTTATGTCGCAGTTTCCAGTACTGAAGAGAGAACGTGGAAAAAAGCACATGATGACTTCGACCTTTTAGAGCTGAATAGGATGGGTAAATGGAATGGGAAAGGGAAAGCTGGAAGCTCCTATGTTTTGCCTAAACATAAGGATCTTTCACGCTTTCGCCCCATCTGCCCCACCTATACTGAGCCTACCTACCAGATTTGCAGAAAAGTGTCGAAAGCTTTGAATTTAATGTTGAATCGCCTGCCACGTAACTGTCATTTCAATTTGCCCTCAGTGGGATTGTTAGCAGAGCGTCTGAAAGGGGCGAACGCTCAGTTGAAGGGTGCATATAAGGAGAGTAGAATAATGGCAGCATCATACGATATAAAGGACATGTTCAGTAGATTGCCGCATGATGATATTCACTGTGCTTTGGATTGGATTTGCGATGTTTTTCGAGACAAGTCCAGTATTCAGGTGAATCCTAGGGGGAAAGGGGCTTCATTCGGGACGAAAGATGGTGAGGGATGGTGGAAAGTGGATATTGTGGATATTGTGAGTTTTATTCAGTTTGAGCTATCGCACACCTATACCCGAGCTTCCGGTATTCTGCTACGACAAGTCGTTGGTATACCCATGGGTAAAAGCACGAGTCCGCCACTGGCATGTATTTTGTGTGCACATGCCGAGTGGCGGTTTCTGGTGTCTTTGGGCAGCGATCGAAGGCTGATTTATGGGTGCGACTGATGGACGACGTATCCGTTTTCTTGGCCTACCAGAAGGGAGACTGTAGGACCCTGGGTACAGTTAACCGGATCTGCAGGAAATTTGAGAAGTGTTACCATGGCTTGGACCTCCGGACATGGGGGATCCGGACGGTCCGGATGTCTGGACAGTTCCGGAAATGTCCGGACCATTAAAAAAAAATAAAAATAAAAAAATCTGAAAAAAAAGTATGCTATTCAGAATAACAATGCAAACCACTTTTGCCTCAGAGTCATGTCAGAATTCCTAACCAAACTTGAGTTACAAGTCAAAAACTATAAAAAAGCTTTAAAAAAGACTTTGAAAACTAATAAAAGGTAATGACTTATTAATAATTAAAAAATTGGGGTTGTCTAATAAATTATTATAGAGAGAGAGCATGTCCGAACCCCCCAAAAAAGCATAAACGGGCCTGAAAAACCCCCAAAACAATTTTGGGGGCTTGGCTCCTCAATGGGGAAGGGTCCTGTTTTTTTTTTTTTTTTTTTTTTCCTCGAATTTTGGCAGATCCGGACCTTCCAGACCAGACGTCTGGAGTCCGGACTGAATCCGGACTGTCTGGACGGCGGTCCGGACGTCCAGATCGTAGCCATGAGTGTTACCCTAGGACTCTGACCTTGAAGYGAACCGACGATAAGACTGGGACCTGGGATTTCCTGGGTTGCCGCATGCAGGTGTCAGACAGCTTTCCGTTTTTGGGTAGCATACAGCTAACAAAGAACGATGAGACAATGTGGACCACCGGGAAGGTGATTTTTCGGACCGGGCAGGACGCGGTATCATGGACAAGTCGCAAACAGAAATTGGCTGGGATAACTGGGTGGCTGCATCGTATCGACAGGAATACGACAGTCAGAACCAGTATCCCTAAGCAAGTCCTGACACTGCGCCTGGAGTACCGGGCCAAAGGCTTCAGGGACGAAGTTTTCGATACCGCGCYTACGAATTTTGCTCGTACACGCGACCAGATGTGGCA